GTTTCAGCAGCGGCTGAATCTGGACGCCAGTTCCGACTTACATACAGATTCAACTTAAGAACAAACCTACAGTCCCTATCTTGTACGTAACCCGGGGACTGCCTGTATATTGTGTCTTGGACTTTAAGACATCTTAACTAATTCCTTTGCCGTGCTTGGCCAAGGTCCACTACATAAGCACAGAACAAAAACAATCCTATCCAGTTTGTGGGTTTCCTTAGTCTGCTGGGAAACAGAAATTGGAAGCCTAAAACTTTCAAGAGGAGCTAATAGTTATGTGATTGTAAATGTATGTAAAGCATGTTTGTGATGAAATTTAATTGTAACAGTTATTTTTTAATGACAAATTTAGTGTTTTATTGATTTTAAAAAATTAAAAATCCAAATTAAATAATTATGTTTTAAATAAAAATGCAATTAAAAGGGTTTTTTTAAATCATTGATTTTTATCCACCCTGATTTAAGACTGGTTAGATGTGATGAAATGAGATCTCTACTTAACATACAATAACTATTACCTAATCCTTTCCTTCCCACACATTTGTTTGCCATATCCACCAGGGCTGTCATAATTTAGACTGCAAGTTTCTTGGGGGACTTTTCAATGTGTGTTTGTACAGTGCTAATACAATGGACCTCAGTTCTGGATTCTGGTTCTTAGAAACTACTGCAATACTAATAAATAGAGTAAGATTGTAGAAAAAATGTATTATAGTGTGATTCATTATTGAAAAATAGTGTGTGCACCTTACAGTCTGCATCCAAACATGTTGTCTGTAAAGGAAGAAGCATGTACGTGTATGAGCATATCTAAACACAGGTAACATCTTATATTCAAATATTTTCTTCTGTTTAGCTTTTCCATTCTGGGCCACATCCCTTGCTCCATGCCAGCATTTCCCAAACTGTGGTCCGCGGCTCAGTACTGGTCCTTAGAAAAAAATACTGGGCCTCAGAAAAATTTTCGTGAGAGCCCACCTCGCTGCCCGCAACCCCCAAGATGAACGCCCCGCTGAACTCCCAGTGTCAACGGAGGTAGCAAAGGCTTCCTGCGGCATCAGGGGACAGTTCTGCAGCTGCGCACCAGGTCTCAGAAGCATGCGAGCTGTTCTCCCCCCTACCCCAACAGCTGGCGCAGTACCTAAAATGCCAGTCCATCACGCACTGGGAACTTTGTTCCCCTGCTGCCTTCCTGTGCGCGGAGGAGTGACTGGGGATCCGGGACTGCACCGGTTCCAGCTGCTCAGGCGGTGCATGCTGCCATGGGGAGCGGAGGAGCAAGGCGCACACTGCCCGAGCGGTTGGGGCTGGCACGGTCCAGGACTCCCCCTTCCCCCCACGCAGGAAGATATCAGGCGTGCAACGGATCAGTGTGGTACCACGCTGCTGTTTGGAGGACAGAGGAGCAGCCCGCGTACTTCCTGGGCCTTGGCAGATACAGGATCCCCAGGTATCCGTCACTGTCCCCTCCCCACCCCCCCAAGACCTCAACAAGGGCCCTGTCCCTTGCCCCAGCACTCATTGGCACCCTTCCCCAGAACTCTGTCCCAGCACCTACAAGCACAGTTGGGGTCACATTAGTGAAGTTTGAGGGCTGTGTTTTTGTATTGCACTTGAGTAGCTCCGACTGACTTTTCTGTGGGCTAAAGTTAGCACTGGGGGCTTTGGGAGGACCAGAAACAATTTATTTGCATATTCATTATTTGCTTAATTAATATGCAAATAAATGTTACCAGGCCTCCAAAAAGCTTGTGAATGGATTTTTGCTCCATGCTATGACCCAGCCATGTAACCTGCATATTTTATCACCAATCATCTCTTTAGTGCCTGAAACAAAGCACCCTGAATTTAATGTATTATCTTGCTGTCTAACAATTCCCAGATTAAAACAAATTGTTCCTATCAGATCTTGCCACAACATGAAGTTTCTTTTGTTTACTTTACAGTACATAGATAGGCAGTAATTTTCATGGAGATAAAACAGAGTTTGTGGATATCTTTGTTGTAAAAAAATTGCTGCTGAGTAATTAATCATTTCTTTCTGAATAGTGAGAACCTAATGAAGCATAGATTGCCTGTATCCAAGTTTTATTAAAAAAGTTGTCAAAGATTCTGACAAGTCAGACCCTAGGGCTAAATAGCTGGTAAAAAGAAATCCAATTCAGTGCTTTTGTTATTATTACTACTGATATTGCACCACAGATCTGCATAGTGCTTTACAAGACAGGAAAGACTAATAGCTTAAAGACTGGCTCTTGCAGACTTATTACTTGGGTTTTACTAATGTGACGATGCTCCTACAGTCAACTAAACCATTCACCGTACTAAACACTATCCTCATCAGTAAGTTCCTGTTGTGGCTCCACCTGTTTTCAGCATAAGTTAGGAAGGAGGTGGGCAAAGGGCAAGTGGGAAGGAAGTCTGAGTAAAAGTTGAACTAAAGTAAGGTGTCCCTCTTGAGGATTAAACATTTATTTTATTACTTATGTAAGAGTATAAATATGCACAAGTGCACATATCCATACATACACATTTAGTTTGTAAAGCTCCTCTGAAGAAAAAGTGATATTTGAGGAAAGAGTTAATGAAGGAGGCATGGCTGATGGGATCTGGAAGGTAGTTCCTCGAAAAGTAATATAAGAAGGCTAGATGTGGGCATGCCAAAAGATCACCAAGGCTTATTCCAGATAAGCAGTACAGATAAGTAAAGAGCAGATACATGACAGTGAAAAGAAATGAGAGGTAAGAAGCTGGATTCAGCTAAGGCAGGCTTTGTCTCGCTGACTGTGCCTGTCTCTGTTCCCTTCATATGGGCGTCAGTTTTTTCCACATGACAGGAAGTGATATATCAGGAAAGTTAACTTGGCATGGCAACAAGCTGTTGCCCAGCTACAGCAGCCAAACACTTTTCAAACATCTAAGAAAAAAAAAGCTTCTTTGATGTGGGCAGCTTCAAATAAAGCTTAGCCTGAGCCAATCTGAACGTAGAGTCAAAAGCTGTGTTACAAAGAAATGTCAAGTGTGTCTGGGAGAAAAGAAAAAAAGTGAAATGTGTCTGGATAATGAACAAAATTGTACTAAATTATGTTTTATGTCATCGTTGATAATTTCACTCTGTGATGCTGTGTCCTAAAACGAATAAAATGTAAATTTGTGGATTTTGTATTGTATATCCCTTAGTAAATTTGAACTACATGACATATCTGAATTCTGATTCCTTGTGATTAAACCATTATTAGCAAGACCAAACCACTATTTATCACCATTTCAACAAGATCAACTCTTATATTATTTTGACTTGTGACACTAAAGAGATATCAACAAGTCTAGTAAATATTATATATGAATATTTATATACAATTTGGGGAAAACATTAACTACCTGAAAATAGCTGCAAATTAAATGTTTTAAAAGCTTTGTTGTAGTATAAACTATGGAAAATATTAGGGCTGTCAAGCGAATAAAAAATTAATCACAATTAATTGCACGATTAATCATGCGGGCTGCCCTTTTGAAACACTGCAGCGGCATTTCAAAGGGGCAGTGCTGCATGGAGCCCAGGACCGGCTGGAATCCCCAGCTGACCCCGGACTCTGAGCAGTACTGTCCCTTTGAAATGCCACTTCGTTTCAAAGGGGCAGTGCTGCATGGAGCCCAGGACCGGCTGGAATCCCCAGCTGACCCCGGACTCTGAGCAGTACTGTCCCTTTGAAATGCCACTTCGTTTCAAAGGGGCAGTGCTGCATGGAGCCCAGGACCGGCTGGAATCCCCAGCTGACCCCGGCTCTATACAGCGCTGCCCCTTGACAACACCACCCCAGTGTTTCAAAGGGGAGCACAGCAGGAGCCCAGAATCAGTTGGAGTCTCCAGCTGATCCCAGCTCCATGCAGCTCCATGGTGTTTCACAGGGGCAGCGCTGTGGGAGCCTAGGGTCAGCTGGAGCCTAGGATCAGCGTTTCAAAGGGGCAGCGCCACACAGCTGACCCCAGGCACTGCCCCTTTGAAACGAAGTGGCATTTCAAAGGGACAGTACTGCTCAGAGTCCGGGGTCAGCTGGGGACTCCAGCTGATCCCAGGATCCTACTCTGCTGTCCCTTTGAAACACCTGGTGTCGTTTCAAAGGGGCAGTGCTGCAGGAACACCTACGATTAACACATTAAAAAAATTAACGTGTTAATTGTGCTTTGCATTAATCGCAGGTGTTAACGCATGTTAATTGGCAGCCCTAGAAAATATTATTAGATTTTCTGAAATTTAAAAAAATCTGAAAACTATATTTGGTATCAAATTCTAAATTATACTTCATAAGAAAGCAGAGACTTAAAACTATCACTTTCTTTTATATGAACATTCTATAAAATATCAGTAAACTACTATAGTAACGGTTACCAAATTGTAAGTTCAACTGGAAATGCTCCATCTTTTATCTTCTATCATCCTCCCCAACTTCCTTGCTACTTCAGCTCACCTCATCCCCTTTCAAAACTTCTGTGCCATCCAACTCACGGGTCTGGTTTGCTTTCTGTAGCATTTGCTTCTCCATGTTTGACATCTCCTCCTTAGCAGTCTGAAGCTCTTCTGCTTTGGCTTCTTTCTTCCGAGAAATGATGGATGCCTGTGGGTTCATTAAATATCAGCTCGGATAAGTATGTAAAAAGTGCACTTGGTCACCTATGTTTAGCCATCAATAAAATCTAAGTTAAATTTTAAATTTCATATGTTGTAACATTGAGATTGTACAGATAATTGTAGGGAGGAATTGTCTATTGAGAAAATGTTGTTACTATGACCATTTGTACCTATATAGGAAGTAAAAAACAACAATAGAAATGGATTCAATCCTGAATCCGTTTTGGGTAATGGTTAAAACTATCATTGACTTCACTGGAACCAGGATTTCACCCAGAGTTTTTATGTTCCAGATTCACATTAACAATTATATTCTGGATTCATATTAATATTTTTACATTTGCCTTTAATTTTTGTATCTGAATTTTTAATTTTCATTAAAGAAAATAAGGCGTAGATTATTGCTGCTCAGTTTAATTTTAGTCTTTTTTAGTGCATATATAAGATGCACTAACCAGGCTTAACTGGAAAGGTATCCAAGATTTTGAAAGATTTCACACGTCATAATATGGGTTTTTATAACTCCAACCTACAGAAATACGTATCATGTAACTAGCAACAGAACTGAGCCATTAAATATCTGCAACCTAGAAAAAGATGAGGAAAGAAATAAAGGATTACAGGTTATTTTACCTATTTGAGCCGCATAGAGACAGATTGGTTTTTAAATGAAATTTTTACACCACATATACTATATTGTATATTTAGTGTTGCCTACTATTTCATGGAAAAGTGAATGTGTTTAAGAAGGTAATTAAAATGCTTTTATTTTTCTCATATATTTTATATCATAGTTTTATTTCCCCAAAAATCAAACACCAATATTAGAACAAGCAATCTAGTGTTTTCTGCATATTAAAACAAAACACAGTACAATGTAGGTATCGTTAATGCTAGAGTCTCCTTACTGAATGAAAGAAATGTCTTCCCTTCCCCCCCAAATATATTTATCAGAAGTGATTCTGTGTACATGGCATCTCAGCTCTTAGCTTCTTATCGACAGAGACAACTGTGGTAATTGCCAAACCAGGATCTAGGTTTTTATCTTTTAGGTCTTATCTACACTTGGAAATTACCAATATAGGTGTTCCAAAATAAGCCCCAATGTGAATATTCTGATTCCAGATGGGCTATTTAAGTAAATTTCCAAGAATAGACTAGCAACTTGGGAAATGATCATGGATTGTGCCCTAACTTCCATTAATTTCTACAGAAAAGTGCCCTCAGCTCTAGGTGTTAGTTCTAGAATACAGACTCTCTGCTGCATCTAGCACACAAAGCCTAAGGGTGTGATACTGTAATTGCTTATTATCAGGCTTAGTTCCATTGCATTCAATAGAACTATGCCCACCACTAAGTGGGTGCAGGATTTATGTAATGCAAATATACTTCTGTTCAAACTTGCGTATTTATACTTTATATTTTTCTGTTTAATTTAGTTTTGCATAAAAAAAGACATCTCAAAAGTGTAGATATCAGTCAATCTGAGAGGATTTTGCTCCTTACAATAGAGCTTTTGTTCTTACCTGTTGTCGATACATGGAAAATTTACTATCAACAGGCTCATATTTCATCATTCTCTTTTCAATCAGTTGATTAATTTGAGCATTGACTTCATTTATCTGGAATAAAGAGCAGAAGATTGAGAAAATGCTTTTTTATTTCTAAAGGCATTAACTCTATGTTGCAATGGACAAGAGGGTATGAATTTCCTTATATTGTTGTTTTCTAAACATTTTAATGCCACGATCCCCTTTGGGCTAACCTCTGCTAATGTAATTCCCAGTCTGGGACCAGGGATTGAGAGTGAGTCTACACTATGAGGGATGCCCCCTAGAAATGTCTCTTATGGTATACTGGGGCAGGGGAAAAAGGACCAGGTCCTACCCTGGACGGTGAAGTGTTGGGAGTGGCAGACTGGGCTGAAAGAAGAGTTAAACATTGGAAAGTGGTGAAAGGGACTTTTTGAGATGGGAGTGAGAAGGGATAGGGATGAAGCAGGCTTCTTTGTGAAGTGGTGAGGAAGATGAGCTTACTGTGGGGGGTAAGTTAGCATTAGCCAAGCTCAGGGAGAGGAATCAACATTAGTTGCAGGTGGCGATCAGTTAGGTGGAAGGCATGAACTCATGCTGCAGACCTGGATACACCCATCTGGCTTTCACAGCACCTGGTACCAGCAGGCTGTGTTATAATCAAAGTAAAACCAATAACACCACCATTTACTGCCATACACTGGTATATACTTCAAGGAAGACACTATCATTAAACACAAATTAGATCTGAAATAGCGGCATTTTGGAACCTCTGTCATCCACGGCAATGTGTTTCTTATAAATCAAAATAGCACTCATGATTTCAGGCACTTCTGCTAGACATGTCTAGTACCTTCCTTTCCCTCGTGCACTGTAGGCACATGGTGATCTTTCCATTGTTACAGATTATTTTTCTTCTCACTATATTACTTCTAAATTCACTATCCATTTGGAAGTTTGTCCTGGTTCATTACACATGGAAGGTGTGGAATACTTGACTATTATCATAGTGTGAGCTAAATCATCA